CAAGTTCCCTTTCATTTCTAAAGCACTTTGTAGAAGGAGGCCATTGACTAAGGTCAGGGTTCTAATCCTCCCATCTTCCTTTCAGCTCAAGACCAAGCCTTTCTAGGAAAAAAACAGACCTCCAGGAGAGGGCAGATTGTTATCTCCCCAGACAAGCCTCTAATGGGTTGCACAGCTTAAGATAAAGAAGGGAGCAATTGTTTTCAGCGTGCATGCCTCATGATCCAACCTTATTACCAGCAGGTTTTCCATCCTATTTGTTTCCTTCTGAGTGATTTGAGACATTCATTCTGCATCAGCAACACTTACAAGAAATATGAGAGGAAATAAATTTGCCACAGACACTATACACCATGCTGCAGTAATTACAAACTGCTGTCCTGAAAGCAGCCTGGGGTAGTTGAAGCATATGAATGCATAATGCTAGGGAGGAGGAAAGATAAAAAGGAGAGAAAGAAGGAAGAGGAGGAGAAGGAGGGAAGACGGGAGGGAAGGAAAACAGACCCCACCGATTATCAATGATCTATATGGCAAGCACAATGCCAGGCTTCTCACCGGTGCAACCTCAAGTAATTCTTTCAGGATTCATATGAAATAAGATGATTGTTGTCTTCAGGTTATGGTAGAGAGAGAGAGATGAAAAGTGGAAAAACAGATACAGCAACAGTAGAACAGAACAATGAGAAATGAGTCAAATCACCCTGCAGAAGCTCCGAAAGGCCCTCATGCAAAGTGCTGGGTACTTAGGAAGGTAGGAGCAAGGCTGAGGCTGGAATTGGCTGGAAGTCCATATGCAAAGCAGGTAGACACTCATCCACCCAATTCCTACTGACCCCATGCAGCCAGGCAGACAGCCACACCAGTGCGTGCACGTGGGTGTATCTTCCACACAAATTGAACTGAAGGGTTCTCAGACTCAACACACCAGGACAGTGGAAAGGAGCGATAAGGGATCAAACAGAATTAGGAGGATCTGATGACACCACTCCTGCCTTGTTCTCAGAATGCCAGCAACCAAGTTTATACCACCCAGTAGCATACTGAAGGATTTTTTTAGTAAAAAACAACACTGCAACAAGAACGATGATGATGACAATGATGATGATGAAAAATATTTATATGCAATAATCCCCCTTTGTCTATGGGGGATGCAGTCTAAGCCCCCCAGAGGATGCCTGAAACTACAGTTGCTACCAAACCCTAACCAAGGAATACCAAGGTTACCTTTTTACTTAAAAATCACTTTACTGGCTAACACAGTGAAACCTCGTCTCTACGAAAAATGCAAAAAATTAGCTGGGCATGGTGGCAGGTGCCTGTAGTCCCAGCTACTTGGGAGGCTGAGGCAGGAGAATGGTGTGAACCCAGGAGGCGGAGCTTGCAGTGAGCCAAGATCATGCCACTGCACTCCAGCCTGGGCGACAGAGTGAAACTCTGTCTCAAAAAAAAAAAAAAAAAAAAAAAGAAAAGAAAAAAAAATCATTTTACAATTTCTCTTTGGCATATCTGAATTGCCAGCATCACTACTCTTGCACTCTGAGGCAATTCTTAAGTAACGTAATGGTGACTTGAAGACAAGCATTGGCAGTACTGCGACAGTTAATATGGTAACTGAGACAGTTCCAAAGTGACTCAATGACGGGCAGCATCTACAGTGTGGAGACACAGGGCAGAATGATTCATGTCCAAGGCAGGATGGAGACAGGCAGTGCGAGATTTCCTCACTCTACTCAGCATGGCGCATAGTTTAAAACAGGAATTGTTTATTTCTGGAGTTTTCCATTTAATATTTTCTGACCACAGTTGACCAACAGTAACTGAGACCACAGAAAGTGAAGCCTCAGAGAAGGGGCAACTACTATAGTGCTTGACTCTGTGCCAAGCATTTTTCTAAGCATTTTACATTCATTCATTCATTTTATCTTTATCTTAAAAGATAAGTACTGTTATTATTACTATTGTTTCTATGAGCAAACGGAGGAGTCTAAAAGTTAATAATCCTTAGTTCTGTTAGTAAGAAACTAGTAATTGTCAGATACTGGTGTTTCAGTTTCACTCAATAAAAAACTCAGCTCACACATAATCCTCCTGAAATGAAACCCAATAATCCATAAGTTCTGTCTACCAGTAAACAGCTCACAATAATCTTTTTATGATTCACTCAATTCATACTTGGGACATGGAAACCAGAAATCATAAATCATTAAAGAAAGCTTCCAAACTGGAAAAGACAGACAAAAACAAGCAGTGGAAGGACAGAGTCAGAAGAAATGAAGTTAATACAGGAGATGGAAGAAAAATTTTCTAAAATTCATTTTTACCTCCAAAAGAATAAGAGAAGATATGATATCTGTCCAAAAAGCAACAAAAAAGAAACAAATGAAAAACAAAACAAAAAAAAGTCTTCAGCAATTAAACATGAAAAGAAGAAAAAATAAAATCTAGGGAAAAGCATAGAAAGCCTGAAAGTTTAAAAAAAAAAAAAAAAACTCTAACATTTAAGTCTTTAATCCATATTGAATTAATTTTTGTATAAGGTGTTAGGAAGGGATCCAGTTTCAGCTTTCTACATCTGGCTAGCCAGTTTTCCCAGCACTATTTATTAAATAGGGAATCCTTTCCCCATTTCTTGTTTTTGTCTGGTTTGTCAAAGATCAGATGGTTGTAGATGTGTGGTATTATTTCTGAGGGCTCTGTTCTGTTCCATTGGTCTATATCTCTGTTTTGGTACCAGTACCATGCTGTTTTGGCTCCTGTAGCCTTGTAGTATAGTTTGAAGCCAGGTAGCGTGATGCCTCCAGCTTTGTTCTTTTTGGTTTAGGATTGTCTTGGCAATGTGGGCTCTTTTTTGGTTCCATGTGAACTTTAAAGTAGTATTTTCCAGTTCTGTGAAGAAGAAAGTCATTGGTAGCTTGATGGGGATGGCATTGAATCTATAAATTACCTTGGACAGTATGGCCATTTTCACGATATTGATTCTTCCTATCCACGAGCATGGAATAAAAACCCTAGAAGAAAACCTAGGCAATACCATTCAGACCATAGGCATGGGCAAGGACTTCATGTCTAAAACACCAAAAGCAATGGCAACAAAAACCAAAATTGACTAATGGGATCTAATTAAACTAAAGAGCTTCTGCACAGCAAAAGAAACTACCATCAGAGTGAACAGGCAACCTACAGAATGGGAGAAAATTTTTGCAATCTACCCATCTGATAAAGGGCTAATATCCAGAACCTACAAAGAACTTAAACAAATTATAAGAAAAAATCAAACAACCTCATCAAAACATGGGCAAAGGATATGAACAGATATTTCTCAAAAGAAGACATTTATGCAGGCAACAGACACATGAAAAAATGCTCATCATCACTGGCCATCAGAGAAATGCAAATCAAAACCACAATGAGATACCATCTCACACCAGTTGGAATGGTAATCATTAAAGAGTCAGGAAACAACAGGTGCTGGAGAGGATGTGGAGAAATAGGAACAGTTTTACACTGTTGGTGGGACTGTAAACTAGTTCAACCATTGTGGAAGACAGTGTGGTGATTCCTCAAGGATCTAGAACTAGAAATACCATTTGCCCCAGCCATCCCATTACTGGGTATATACCCAAAGGATTATAAATCACGCTGCTATAAAGACACATGCACACATATGTTTATTGTGGCACTATTCACAATAGCAAAGCCTTGGAACCAACCCAAATGTCCATCAATGACAGCCTGGATTAAGAAAATGTGGCACATATACACCATGGAATACTATGCAACCATAAAAAAGGATGAGTTTATGTCCTTTGTAGGGAAATGGATGAAGCTGGAAACCATCATTCTCAGCAAATTACCGCAAGGACAGAAAACCAAACCCCGCATGTTCTCACGCATAGGTGGGAATTGAACAATGAGAACACTTGGACACAGGATGGGGAACATCACACACCAGGGCCTGTCATGGGGTAGGGGGAGGGGAGAGCGATAGCATTAGGAGATATACCTCATGTAAATGACGAGTTAATGGGTGCAGCATACCAACATGGCACATGTGTACATATGTAACAAATCTGCACATAGTGTACATGTACCCTAGAACTTAAAGTATAATAAAAATAAGAAGAAGAAGAAGAAGAAAAGTATAAGGATATTTATCCTTATGTAAATAACATCACAGTATCACAATATGCAATTCATAAAGTTTATATTAAAACATGCAAAAAGAAAATAAACTCTCAGAAAGCATAACAAGAAAAAAGAGAGAAAAAAGACTAAAATAAATCAAAATTTAGAAGATTAAACCAAGAGGTTCGACATATGGTCTTCCAAAATGAGCTAAAAGAAGAATAAGGTGAAATTGTCAAAGATATAAGACAGGGAAATTTCCATACCTGAAAGGCATGCACATCCAGTGACAAGTATAATAAATGAAAGGGCCCACTGAGCACTCAACATAATGAATAAGAAGTTGCCTTGTCATGAAATTTCAAAACTACAAGTAATAACGACATGATTCTAAAAGTTTTTATAGGGGGAAACATATAAAGAACCCATTTTATTAAAAATGGATTATCATGCAGTTAACTTCGGTCCTGTTTCAAGGTTCACGTGAATAATTCTGATCGATAAAACCCAAATTACTCAGTAACCCTAGCTACAAGGAAGTGCTTCTTCTTGTTGTATTAAGACTTTTAACTTTTTATTATTGTGAAAATTTCAAACCATACTAAAGTTGAAAGAGTAAGATAATGCCCATCTATATAGTCCTCAATTGGAGTCACTGATTATGCCAGTTGGAGGGACACTAATGATGAGACTGAATTAGGATGCCAGAGGAGAGTCTATGAGACATCAAGGAAATTGAAGTAGCACTGACAGGGAGTGTCTCAGACTATGATAAGGATCTGACAAGGTCTCAGCCGACCTAACAGGGAGCTCCAGAGCAAAGATTTCCCACTGCACAGCTGGTATCATGCATTGATCAGTCACTGGCTGGGCACTGCTAGGGAAGACTGTGGCCTCAGCTCCAAAGCACAATTGGGTCCTGAAGGACCTAATGACTAGAAACTTCCAGCTGACTGCACTCTGCAACTGACTGGTAAGTGCTTTCTTAAAGGGAAATTGGAGCAGTGAGCTTCTATAGCTGTGACAGCATTTTCTGATATTTTACCTTTTTTTTCCCCTAAGCCATTTGAAGGCAAGTTGTAATCACCAGTCATGGCATTTTGACCACTAATTACACAGCAATATGAATCTCTTAACAACTAAACATTTTCCTACATAACCACAGTACAATGATCACATTGGATAATTATTTGAACAATAATATTATCTGACATGTTGTCCATATTCAAATCAAATTCCATTAATCATCCAATTAAGTCTTGTTTCTTCTGGATGCACATGCACATGTACACATGTATGTACCTGTGTGTTTGAGCCATGATCCAATTAGGGGTTATGAGTTGCATTTGATTCTCATGTCATTTTATTCTCCTTTAACGAAAAATGGTTCTCTTACCTTTCTGCATTTTCAAGATATTGGTCTTTCTGAAAATTCCACGTCATTTGTCTTTTAGGATGAACATCAGAATTTGTCTTCTTATTATTTCATGACTAAATTCAGGATATAATTGTAATACCCCACTTTTTGGTGTTTTCGTTTGTGCTTTAAATAGTCAGTTGTGTTTTATGTGAGTTACAAGAAACGAGAAAACAGTCTTTTATATTTATCTACTTATTTACTATCTCTGGTGCTTTTTATTTTCTTTTGTAGATTTGAACATCTATAGAATATTACATCTCTTTGACCTGAAGGACTTGCTTTAGCATTTCTTGTACTACAAGTCTGATGGAGGTAAAATCACTAAATTTTAATTTAACTGAAAATGCCTTTATTGCACCCTTGTTCAAAGGATATTTTTGTTGGATACAGAATTCTGTATTGACAGTTTGGTTTGGTTATTGCTTTCTCATTCAGCACTTCAAAGATGTTATTCCATTATCTTCTGGCCTCCATTGTTTCTGACAACAAGTCAGCAATAATTCTTATGCTTGTCCCCTACATATAACGTGTCTGTTTGCTCTGGCTTCTTTCATGATGTTTTCCTTATCTCTGTTTCTCAATAGTTTGATTATCATACTACTAGATGAAACTCCTTGTATTTATCAGGTTTTGATGTTTGTTTAACTGCTTGGACCTATAAATCATCAAATTTGGGGAATTAGAGACTATGGTTTCTTTGTTTCTTTAATTTTTTTTTTTTTTTTTTTTTTTTTTTTTTTTTTTTTTGAGACAGAATCTCACTCTGTCACCCAGGTTGGAATGCAGTGGTACAATCTCAGCTCACTGCAACCTCTGCCTCCCAAGTTCAAGCAATTCTCCTGCCTCAGACTCTCTAGTAGCTGGGACTATAGACCTGTACCACCGTGCCGGGCTAAGTTTTTTGTATTTTTAGTAGAGACGGGGTTTCACCAAGTTGGTCAGGCTGGTCTTGAACTCCTGACCACTCAAATGATCCACTCACCTCAGCCTCCCAAAGTTCTGGGATTACAGGTGTGAGCCACTGTGTCAGGCCAAATATTTTCTTTGCATTTTGTTCACCAGCTTCTCTCTTAGTGCTGATGTTTAGACTACTTGCTATTTTCACACAGAGCACTGGGGTTCTTTTAAACATTATTCAATCTTTTATCCTTTCCTTCTAATTGAGCAATTTTTATTATCTATGATCAAGTTCACTGACTTTTTCTTCTGCCATTTCCAATATTCTATTAGACCTGTTCAGTAAACTTTTTATTTCTGTTCATTTGTTTCAGTTATAGAATTTCTATTTTTTTCTTTCTTTTTTTTTTTTTTTAGATGGAGTTTTGCTCTTATCGCCTAGGCTGGAGTACAATGGCGCAATCTCAGCTCACTACAACCTCTGCCTCCCAGGTTCAAGCAATTCTCCCGCCTCAGCCTCCTAAGTAGCTGGGATTACAGTCACCCGCCACCACACCCAGCTAATTTTTGTATTTTTAGTAGAGATGGGGTTTCACTATGTTGGCTAGGATGGTCTTGATCTCCTGACCTTGTGATCCACCTGCCTCAGCCTCCCAAAGTGCTGGGATTATAGGCATGAACCACTGCAATCAGACACTATTTAATTTTATAGTCTACATTTTTCTATTGATTTTTTTATTTGCTCACTAATTAAAATCAAATTTTTTTATTTAAACATCTTTACAAGAGTATTTTTCAAGTCTTTTCTTAGTACAACATGTGCATTATTTTAGATTTGGTTCCTGTTGACTGTTTTATTTTGTTTTGATTTTTTCTTGTTTTTTACTATGAATCATATGTTTCTATTTCTTTGTCTATCTACTGAAATTTGCGTTGAATGCTGAATATTGTAGAAAAGACATTGAAGAGACTCTGGCTTCAGTATTGTCCTATCAAATTAACAAGTCATTCAATTACTGGTTAATCACCGGAACTTTTAGATGCTTGGTTTAACACTTCCTTCATTCAAGTCTGTGAAAAGCTGAAGGTATTTTCCAAACCTCTCTAACCTGAAGGGACCAAACACTAAACTCATTATTTTCTAGAGATCTTTTCTGTGACCTTGGTTAGGCCAGTTCCATGCTATGATCCCTGTTGTTAAGACACAAGCTTTTTGGAGTCTCAGCTAGATGCTAGGGTGTTAATGATGGATTAAGGAGATGTCTCCACTCTGACAGGGCAAGAACTCCAACTTCCCTTGCACTTCTCCTTCCAAGAACTTCTTGACTTCTGGTATCTGTGTTCTACTCTTAACAGCATAGTATGTGCTATATGGTAAGGCTGGATGGTTTGTCCTGTACATGTACAACTAAAATTCAGCCACAGACTCTCAGGGATTCTCCATCAATTCATGGAATCCCCTTTCCACAGAGATTCCTCTACTCAAGGCCTACCTTGAGGATTCCATCTGTCTCAAGCCCATAACTCTTAACTGTGATCTCTGTTTGATCAGCTCACTGAGGCCATGCTCTCTGTTTGGACTCCAGCTTATTGTGCTGCAACCAGGAAATTGTTCTAAGCACAGAGCTGGATACTCACAAGATTCATCTCAGAAGTTTCCCTTCACTCAAGAATTGCAGATTTGCATTACCTACTGCCCACTGCCTGAAAATAGTTATCCCACATTTTTATCCAGTTTTGTATTTGTTTACGGCAGGAGCGATAATCTAGTCCCAGCCACTGCATCATGACCAGAAGCCTGTGAAATACATTTTTAACTTTTCAGACTCTAAATTATAGGAAAGCACAGAAAAGGCAGGATGAAATGGCTGTCGGGTGAGCCAATCCGTGGTATGATTTACCAACCTGGAAATATATTATCAATCAGCTCCAAGGAAGTGAGAGCAGTTTCAGACTTGCCAACACTATAATAATGATAATGATAATAATAATAACAATAAATGTAAAATGGCCTTCTACATTTCCTTTCTTAGGAAGTACTGAAGGAGGCACTTACTGAGATGAAGGTAATAGAAAAGAGAGACCCAGGATCGAAGAGACAGAGGATTCAACTGAGGAGAGCAACATTAGCAAAAAATGGCCATTGTGTATCAAGTTGAAAAAGTGATCTATGCAGACTGAAAGAAAAACATGATGCAGGAGGCAGGTTTTAAATACCGTAAAAATAAAACCAAGCCAGGCATAGTGACTCATGCCTGTAATCCCAGCACCTTGAGAGGCCTAGGTGGGTTGATCACCTGAGGTCAGGAGTTGGAGATAAGCCTGGTCAACCTGGCGAAACCGCATCTCTACTAAAAATACAAAAATTAGCCAGGCGTGGTGGCAAGTGCCTGTAATCCCAGCTACTCGGGAGACTGAGGCAGGAGAATCACTTGAACCCGGGAGGTGGAGGTTGCAGTGAGCTGATATCATGCCACTGCACTCCAGCCTGGGCAATAGAGCAAGACTCCGTGTCAAAATAAAGAAATAAATAAATACAACTGAAAGCTCATAACTGTGGTTAAATATTTGAAGAGCTATTTACAGGCATATGACGGAAGGTGGAAACACTAAAAAAGATAATAATAGGCAAGTAGAAAATAAACAATAGAAAATCGAGGCAATTATTAACTCCAAGTAAAATAAAAATTTGAAGGAAAAAGTTGATCTAACTGTGCACTACTTAGCTTAGCAGGGACCTATATTTATATAGTCATAATTCTATAAACATTGTTACTGGTTTAACCAGATAGTCCTGTCTAAAATCCCGGCTCTACTTAATACCACTTACCTGGGTCAACTTGGGCAGCTTCTTTTAACTTTCTGAGCCTCAATTTCCCCTTCTACAAAATGTATAATCTCTCATAAGATTGTTGTATGAAGTAAAATAATACATACAAAGGCTCCCACAAAAGTTGACACTAAATATATATTTCTTTCCAAGGTTTTATTACTTGTGCACCCAGATAACTCTTTTGCAAAAGAAAGTGGTAAAATTGGATCTAACCCAGCCCCAGCTCCCACAGCTTCCTCATCCAACCCCAGCCTCAGGCATTGGAGCAGTCTATGCTGTGATCACACAGAACTGCTCACCAGTCCTCACATACATTGCACTGCAAGTTATACTGCTGTGCTATGATGTTTTGTCTGCCAAGAGTTCCCTCTTTAACCATCATGTCCATTCGTTAAGAACATCAATCTTGTATTATACTTCCAAAGCTTCCAATTATAATGAATTATTCTTTTGGTGTTTGGCACATTCTTAGTTGTATTGTGGTCTATTTAAGTATCTATGTCTTTCACCAGATCGTATAAGCAAGGACTTTGCTTTAAATCAGTCTAACCAACACTTATTTATTGAGTAACTATCGTGTGCCAAGTACTGTGCACATTACAAATTGAGGATCTAGGATAATTTAGACACAAGTATTCATTCAAAAATGAACCTACTAAGTGCCAAGAATTCTAATGGGCATTGAGATCCATGTGACCATGAGAAATATGGTCTCTTCCTTCATCGTATTTGCAGTGTGGAGAGAAGGGTCAGGCACGTAGAGAGGGAATTACAAAGCTAAGTAATGTCTGTGCCAGGAAAAGTATCTAGGTCAATGAGAGACAAAGAACGGACATCACAGGCATGAGAATTCAGGGAAGGCTTTTTGGAAAAAGGAACTTCTAAACTAAAAATAAAATGAGTAGTAGCTCACTAAGGGATTGGAGAAGAGAGTTCAAGCTGAGGAAAAACATAAAAATATGTACACAATATAATAGAAGCAAGAATAATAGGCAGTCCTCTCTACCTAGAGGAATCAGGGAAAGCTGTGGGGGCATTTGAGCAGAACCTTCAAGGATAAGTAGATAATTATTGGTAATACTCTCATTCTCTTTGTTGAACAACTATATTAATGCATTAGTAGTCATCCTTAGTCCAGAAAGAATAATCTAATTACTACTATAATAATTTTAATTCAGTAGTGTTATGTTTACTACATAAATGGTAGGAATTTTTATTATCGAAAAAGCATGGACTTACTTCCTTTTGAAATATCTACTACAAACTGAAAATTAATTTAGATCTTTGAATCTTGCTTATTTTTTACCCTATTCTAGTGTCCAATTTAATTAGCATTTTAAAATAAATTCAGGTTGCTTTGTAGAGGAAAACACAGAAAACTAGAAGAAAAGATTGGCAAGTATATCTCACGGCATTTACTACAGAGCAAGATTTCAAAACAAACTTGCATTTCAAGATTAATAATTTCGGTTGTAGTATTGTTATTTATAAATATATGGCCAACACGATTGCAAGAAGAAGCAAGTATCTAGTTAAACTGAGTGGTACAGGCTGGGCACGGTGGCTCATACCTGTAATCCCA